TTTGTCACCTTGCTTCTTTATTTCTTCAGATATCTTCTCCGCTTTCAAAGTCTCTTTGTTCTCTGGCTTTGTCTTGCTTTGAGTACCAGCAACTGTTGTGTCAGCTGGCTTGCAATCCTAACCAGTTATATTTTTATAATCACTTTTCAAGCGCAAGAGAAGTAAAGTTAATATTATTTTACTGCTGCATTATTTATAATCTTTAAGAGTTTGTAAATGAAAAGCGATAATTTTTAAAAAAGTAAAATAGCAGCGCATGAGCAATCTAAGCGAAAAGATAGTATACAGAGATCCGTTAGAAAAACGAGAAGAAACGATAGCTAAAGTTGACCAACACATAGTTGTAAGTCTGAAGCATAAGGAAGCGTTTCAAAAAATCATGAGAGAAACAACGCTGATACCTTATGATAGTTAGTGGAACATTTAAAATTACAAAAAACTATGTGTTGTATACAGCATACTTGAAGTTTTTCTAACAGATTTCTGTATATCTCTTCGCCTAGATTGCTGATGCGTTGTTTTTTCATTCCCAAAAATTTTCGTTTTTTATTTACGGACTCTTTAAAGATTATAAATGCAGCAGCAAAATAAAATCAACTTTACTTTTCACCATTTGTAAAATACAAATAATATATAATTTATGAATAATACAACTATAATTGGGAAAATAAAATATACTGGTTCTACCTTCTGATTACATGGCACAGCAGGCGTCATGTGAGGTGTTGTGGAATGTCCATCAGGTATATGAAACAATATAATAGGCTGTTCTTGCGACGAATAAGCACTAGTAGTGGCATACGGAACATCACAAATAAAGAATCCTTTCCTCTGCAATTGAATTATCTCTCCCTTCTTCACACGTTTCAATTCCACTTCACCCAACATTTCAACCTCTTTCTAAAATAACCATTTTTACATTCAGTTAGCAATGTATATCACGGATTGCCAGTTTACTCGCAAGTAAAATTCTTTACCCTTGTATCCTTGGTGATAAAGTTTTTAAAATCTTCCTCTTTGCCCAAAACCTGCGCACTTATAATGTGATTAAAGTAAACAGCAAAGCATTTTATCGGATTCGTCGATTCCGCATTTGGGTCGGATCTGTCTAATGATTTGCTCAGCCATGTAATCTTCAAGGTGTTTTTGTAATTTTTGTCCTCCAGATTTAATCGTGCTTCCAAATTCACTATATTGCCATCCTTTTTATTTATTTTTGATATCAATAAATTACCCCAATTAATAAAGGTTGCATTTTGTCCTTCAACTAATCTTTCAGCATCTTCCTTCTCTATGAATACTGTAGGGCCTACTCGCACTCGTTTGGTACCTTTAGATGAATCTTTAGGATGATTTTGTACGTTCAACCACTCTTCCTTAGCATCTACTACATTAACCGGTACCATTACGTTGTAATCCAGTGCAGTGTATCTAAAATTATAGATTTTTTAAAATATCAATCAACATATCACCGAACTATCAAACACTCTTAATTACGTATATTTAACTCTCAATTACCTGACCGCAATTGGATCGATGACCTTCTTGTTAAAAGCCCATATTTTGTCCCACTGCATGAAGACCACCGACCTGGAACTACCTTGTGCAATGATGAATTCTTTCAGACCCTCGACTGTCATTCCTCGTCTCAGTATGCCCCTGACTGTCGGAAAGCGTGGATCGTCCCATCCATCGACTAGACCCTCGTTCACGAACCACGTTAACTTCCGTTTAGATAGAACCGTATTAGTCATGTTTAAACGTGAATATTCCCAAATGTACGGGCGACGCAGCCCCAGAGCATCGAGTATCCAATAAAATTGCACATCTCTATCATGATATTCCATCGTGCGCAGAGTGTGAGTAACATCCTCGATAGAATCAACAATTGGACAAGCAAAATCATAGGTCGGATACACCCTAGTATAAACGGGTAAAAAATTTTACAATTAAATTGTGATTTTTAAATCGACTCGTATTAATATTGATATTAAAAGCACACGGTATTGCTAACCAAACTTATATATTATGTTACCAATAGAGCATAAAATTTACTTTATTAACATCAACAATAAAATAATATACCGTTAACAAATTCTTTTAGTTACAACAAATTTATTAAACTCCTCAAGCTATTGTAAGTTAATAATATATAAATATGTCCTGCGTGTGCTAAAATATTACGTAAATACTTGTATTTGTTTCCAGTACGCGGATGAGGTTCCGGCTTGCAACGGTAAATCGTTGGATCGCGCAGGCATCCGTTTAGCGACTCGTAATCGATCTTCGCCCTGACACAATGCTTTTGACCCTCCTCGGTGCCACGTCTCATCTCTTCCCACAACGCTAGATTATCGCCAACGGCTGTAAAGGCGAAACATTATCACTACAATCAATCGAGATGGAAAATTAATATGACGTCTCTTTCGAAAATAATTATTTACAGTTATCTCGATACGCAGATTTCAATCTTTCATCGCGTTGTTCCTTCATAAGGTTCGCCGGTGTGCCATCCACGTACGCCTTTCCACTCTTAATCAGCGCAGTGCAATATTCTTGCAGTATCTCGAAGTAATCCGAGGTATGCGTAAAACGGTCGGGCTTAATTTGCAGCAATCTCAAATCTTCTAGTATAGCTTCCTCAAATTCTACGGTCTCCTTCGCCGGATTTGTGTCGTCAAATCGCATGATAAGTTGTCCCTGAAAAGCCTCGGCGTAATATTGATTTAAAAGAGCCGCTTTGGCGTGACCAATGTGCAGGTAGCCGCTTGCCTCCGGTGGAAACCTTACCACCACCTGCGGAAGATAGCAAGAGTAACAAATTTGTTCCTAGAATATCGGAAACCGATTTACTTTTTTTAATGCATTGCGCAACTTCACCTTGCCCATTTCTGCGCCAGGCAGATCGATAAACTTGCCCTCCTGTTTCCTCAGCTTTGCGTGTTTGGACTTCTCGTCCAGGTTTGCAAACGAGGGACAATTCTTGGCGATCATAGCTATCGCGTTGCTGAACTCGGGAAGCGATTGCATATGCTTGTACCATCTAGTGATGTTACAATAATTCTTTTCGTGTTTCAGAAAGTCTCCTTTATGTAGAACGGAAAATATGTGAATGTCAGCCAACGTCAATCTTTTAGTGACCAGCCATGTCTGCGATAGCAACTCACTATCCAGATGGGTCAACATTTCGGGTTCTTTGTAGGTTTCCAACGCCATGGCACAAGTTATCCAGTAGTCGACACGCGTTCTGTCGAGCGGTGACAAACTGCCTGATAATAATACAAAATAAGTCACGCGATTCGGCAGAACATAGCTGGATTTGACATATTTAATTTTTTATCTTGACATTAACAATCAGATCTGTAGATGTTTCTATACTCGAGCAATCGCACGAAAAATATTCGCAATTTTATACCGTAAAGCGCAGGGTTTACGGTCCTTGCCAAGTACCGGTTGATCTGGTTCGTCTCTTCTGCCAAAACTGCGCCATGTTTGTCGTACAAACAAACATTCGATCCCCCGGCCCCAGTTTTGTCCCACAATATTGTTATGTTCTTCCTATTTTCAGATTTAATTACTTCGGCCGCGATCAGCACACCTGTATAAAATTAAAGGCTCAGATAAACGACGCAAGCAAAAACGCCACATTCTCAAAGTGTCTATTATCAGTAACAACATCGTTAAAATATAAAACGACAGTTAGTACAGTGTTACATTGCGTCAGTCCAAATTAATAAATCTTACGCCGTTACATTTATCTCGTATAAAATGCAATTACATTCTACACTAAGTTAAACTTTGCGATAGCTCTTCTGGAATGTTGATGTCTGGACGGTTGTTTAAAAACTTCCGATTAGAAGCCGGATATCAGATTACTAACAGGACGAATTGTGACGCAATTTCCAAGCCAACTAGTCCTACGGCAAAGTCCGTCCAACGCTTATTTTCGAGTGTTTCCGAGTTTCCTAAGGCCGGTATTCATAGTCGAGTCTTATTTCAAAATCATCTTAAGTATTGTCTTAAGACGCTAATACAGCTTTGCGATTGGTTGAAAACATTAAGAGCATACTTAAGTTGATCTTAAATATAAGAACGGACTATGAATATCGGCCTAAGTGATGCACAAAAGTTAAAAAAGAAGACAACAATTGCATTATGCAACATGTGGGCAAAGTGATGAAATTGTTGCACGACTCTCACGCGTTCTTCGACTCGCGTGTCTCCCACATCGCACTATGTAACGACGTGACGCGCCTTTCGCGTGATATTTTATCGTCGAAAGCGTCTTTAATTACCGCCTGCGACAAAACATCTGGGATAATCTCGGGACGCAGGCCTTCACGCGACGTGATGGAACGTTGGAAGCTGAACGCAACAACAAGACATAGGAAGTACACAAGTACGAACTGGAAAAAGGTTCATTAAAGAAGGAACGAGGGTAGCCTGAACAACCCCCTCTCAGCAATTATTCGTCAACCCCGTTCCAAAAAAAAAAAAGAGCGCTTCTCTCAGCTAAAAGTTGACGCCGAGCTCGAACCGGATTGATTCTATTTTGCGCGGATTTTACCTAGCGGCGGGCGATCCGGGTCACAGACGATCTTATAATCCATTGTCCTCGCACTGTGTTCGCTCCAAGCGAAACAGATCCAGTATCAGCGCGCACCGACGAAGAAGGTTAGCGATCACGTTCCACGCGGTAGCGTCTAAAGTCAGACTCTCTCGCCTGTCGGCCACTCTCGCCGGAACCACCGCTTTCGCGCATGCGCGACGGTCGCATTCGGGCCACGTGGTCCGGCCAGGCATGGCCTCTTGATGTTCTGTGTGTTCAGGTTTGACCGTGGTCTCGGTCAGTTGCGCCTTTTGTTCGAGTTGGAAAACCTTGCGTGACGAGTAGTGTCGCGTGTTCAGGAAGCTTAGCTCGTCTGAAAGTCGAGTTGAGTGCAGGTACGACGTGCCGTGCATTCTTGCGTCAGCCATCACGTGTATTCCGCGTGATACGGCCTTCGTGGCCATTCCGTCGGTCGTTGCGTGCGATCCTCTCGAGCGACAAAGTGTACTCTTAATAAATAAACAGAAACAGAAATAACTATTCCTTTATCGGCTGATCCTAGTATCCTGATCCTGAATATATATATACCTATATACCCCCCCCCCCCGTTCCCTTACACAGGCGACTTTCCTCTACTGTTTACAATCGTTTGTTCAATGTATATTTAACAAACAACACGTTGAGTAAAATTGTCGACGAATTATTATTACGTAAAACTTGATCACTTGCTGACCCTTGTTTCTTCTTTACAGGTCCATAGAAGCACATCCCCACACACATATTACAAGAATGACTGGTGTGATCGAACGCGATTCTATGCTTCCACCGGAATCCGATGATTATCGATTTGAAGTTGCCCGTTTGGCGACCTTCAAGAACTGGCCATGTTCGTGGGTAAAGCCAGAGGCACTCGCGGCCGCTGGGTTTTATTACACTGGCAAAAGCGACATGGTGAGGTGTTTTGAGTGTCACTTAGGGATATGGGAATGGCAAGCGGGCTCCAATCCGATGGAGGGTCATAAACTTGGGCCCGCAAGGTGTAAGTTTATTCAGGATATTCCGTGCGGCAACGTGCCGATCGGCGCGGATCCTAGCACGATTCCGGAACCGGAGCCTAAAGAAGATGACGAATGTGGCTGGCACGTGTGTCTTTACGTTATGATAGACAGGGGTGGGCCTTATTCTGGCCCAGACCACGAAGGGACAGAAGAAGAAAAAGTGAAGCACATGTATGAATCGCCAGGGCTTGCCTTGAAACCTCAGCATCCCTTGTATGCTAATTATGCTATCAGATTAGCTTCCTTCGACAGATGGCCTATAGCATTGTCGCAAACTAAAGAGTCACTGGCAACCGCTGGTTTCTTCTACACAGGAAGTGGTGATCAAACGTCGTGCTTTCACTGCGGCGGAGAATTGAGGGATTGGAAGCCGCAAGATGACCCCTGAATAGAGCACGCCAAGTGGTTCGAACACTGTTCTTATCTGGTTTTAATTAAAGGGACGGCATTTGTGAGCAACATCACTGGGGGAGAGTATATCGCGACAGTGAGTATTTGAAAGGATATATTTATCGTTATTAGAATTGTAGAAATTTGTAATAAATATTTCCTTCTACTTTTGAAAAATAATGAAATAAAATGAAATTTCGCGGAATGTGCGACCACTCGTTTAATCTCGAGTTGTGTTTTTTGTTTTTCCAGGAAAACTCAGTTACTCGGTTGAATGAGAAAGTTGAGAAACTTTCTCTGATGAATACTGAGAGTATTGCTAGCGGAAGCTCTCAAAACTCAACGACATCTGAAGAAGCTAATACTACAGAAGAGAGTGCTGTATCAGGTGAGACCAGAAGCGAAGAACAATCTATCGAAGGTAACAAACCGTACTATAAGGACGCAAAATTATGCAAAATATGCTAGGATAGAGAGATACGGATCGTGTTTGTACCGTGCGGACATTTATTGGCATGCGCGGAGTGTGCGAAAAATTTGAGAATATGCGGCGTATGTCGTAAGCCTGTTGAACGTACTGTACAAGTGTACTTCCCATAGTGTCCTTATCCGTGTGATACATCTGCAAATTTTGCCCCCAAACTTTCTACTTCGTCATTATAAAGACTGATATTTGGACGCAAAACTGAATGATATGACTCGTGTAGCACACCGATCGGCAGGTACAAACTATGCAATGTTAAAGCTCTCGTTAATGAAACACTAGCTTCACGGTTGTCATGGTCTCAATAGAACGGATATTCTGTTGTAATACTAAGAAATCGTGAATGTAATTTGTAATCGTTGTACGAGTAATAGATGTTCCTATATTCAAATTATATATGTATATGGCTATGTAACCGATATTGCAAAAATTGTTAGTGTGTGAAACACGTATGGCATATCACAAATTTTCATATTTGAACTATTAAATGGCGCAAATACAGGAAATCGTTAAAATCAGAACAGATAGATTGTACCTGCAACGGAATGTTGCTATTTGAATGTTTTTGAGTTTATATTGTTGTTCACAAACGCGATATTTGCTGAAAAGAATGCGCTGAGACGGTGAGATAAAAACAAAGCGACCATTGTAGGAGTACAAATAGCAACACAACGCACGGAGTCTAGTCATTTTTAGTTTATAATTCATTTTTTTATAATTTTTTTATTTTATTTTACATACATATTTTATTTAGTTTATAATTTCGTATGTAGAATTCGATATACGTGTCTATGGTAAAGAAACGAAAGGCCCCTTTACATAAACCGTCTAGCTGGGAGAAGGTCGATAAAGTCCAGATCGTGATTCTTGACGCGCAAATATTTGTATCAATATACATATTGTTTCTAAAATAATCGTCGAACGTTTCGATCCGTATTGAATCTTCCTTAATGACAAAGTGAGGAGTAATATATTTTAATGCAAATATTTTCGTATCGAATATTTGTGGACTGACTTTATTATCCTTTCTATAAATTAATAAAGAATTTCAATTTGCCAGTCTTTTCCTAATTTTTGTAACCTGTTAGGCATACTTTGTTGTACTTTATACATATTAATGTACTGCAAATTATTAAACGCATTATTGTCTGTAAGTGTAAGATATTGTAACCTTAACAAATCGAAGCACTCCAGGGTATGGTTGATAAAATCAGTCAGCGTTGATGCCACAAAATTGACACAATATTCAGTTTCAAGAGTCTTGATCTACTTTTTACGGATCGCAGCATAAGTTTATGACGTCGGCCATAATTTATAATTTGTTCTGAAAGAAATGTAATGTAACAGCTTTTTTGATGTGTGAGTTATGTTGTATAGGTAACAATCAATACATTTAATTTAATAAATGGAAGATTACGAAAATAACTTTTAGTATACTCGTCGATTATGTATAAATAATATAACTTTCGTGACTGCATTGACAGATATTTATAGGTTCTTGCACTTAAGATTGCGATTGCACTGAATAAACCTCAGACTTTGTATTCTACGTAAAACCAAGATAAAGAGAAATAATCACACACAAGTGGCCCCCAATGATACAATTGAATGGAGTTCCTATAAATAAAAATTCTGAAAAGATCCGATGTTTGCGCGCGTGCACACGTATTCACGCTTACACTTACACTTCCTTAAATTTACACGAAGTATTTGTTTCATGTGATTTTTTTGCGGTTGAGAATTGCAAAGTACAAAAAAAACCGTAAGAGAAAGTTCCATATATGTTGTACAAATATGTCATATATTTACATAAAAACAATAATTATGAAAGCGGAAAAGTAATTTTGATGTCGATTATACGAATAAGTTGAATGTAGACCAATGTTTAACCAATGTTTGGTCAATGCACTGTGCTACTAGGGAAGTTAACTAAGAAATGATATAATAATTATAATCAAACTAACTTTCGGCTTATTAATATATAATAATAATTTCAATAAGTGCCACGAAAAGATATATTGTTTAAAATGGGATTGCGTAAACTGAAGAATGTATTTACCGCATAAAAAATCTCATGTATGAAAAACTACCGTGTATATTGAAGGATGAGTGTACATACTTAAATATACATACATACATACATATAGAGAATGGATAAAATAATGGTGAACACCTGGAAAATGACCTACAAGGTGCTCACATTATTTTCTCTGTTCTCTACAACACTTTCGTAAACATTTTAAACGTGAAGAAGATTTATTAGATTGGAATTACATTTTAGTGTCTAATATATATTTAATTTGTCTGCGAATATGTTTTGTATGTATTAGGTTTACTTAAAAATAAATTAGCATATTTGCACGTAGAAAGAGATAATTTTAAACGTCAACATAGTGGCTTTACAGAGTTGAGCTGTGCACGGTTATGCGCAATAGATACACACCCAAAACATTTAAAGGATAATTCTACGTTTGTAGAAAGAATATTGTAATTAATTGTAATTTTTGTTTTTCAAAGAGTAATTTTAAAACAGAACAATAGGCTTGTTTTCTATTGCTGTATTGAACGCTGGTGAACTAGCAGTAAGCTAGAACGAGAAAAAAATACTTTTCTTACTCTAATAGTGTAGCAATAGAAAACAAGCCTCTTATTACGATATCTTATTCCGCTTTATTTCACGAGTGTATACTTAACATAAGGGAATTGGTATAAAAAAACTGTTCATTATACGTATGATAATAGTCTATGGAAAATAGGGTTCTAGATAGTTCTTTCGATATTATACGATTTCTTTTGCGTTGCACAAAGTTTAATCATAATATTGTGTATTCAACAATGGGTTCAAACAAAACCAAAAATTTTGCATTTTCGCGTTGTAGTCGTTTTCCTAATATACATTTTTTTCCTTGTAATTACGTTCCCTCTGTTCAAAGTTATTCTGTTCTATCAGTACATCGATATATATATATATATATATCGATGTACTGATATATATATATATATATATATACACACATAAATATATATATATATATACATATATTTTTGTATAATTATTTTTATGATAAATGTTTATTTTTATACCACAAATGCATATTTACGGCAAAGATATTTTCGCGATTAACACGAACTATGCAACGTTTTTTTTTCAAATATCTGCAGTAAAATGCATTTGTGTGACAATCGAAACGTGTACCCTGGACAAAATAATTTTGACATTACTGTATAAAAAACAGCGATATACACATGTAATAATTTCAACAATTATAATACGAAATAAAATTTCAAAAGACAGTTGTTGTTTCTCAACGACATTCCATGCGCACGTGAACCTTGCATGTCCACTTGCACGATAAGATATTACATATATAAAGTTATATAAAATTATCAAATATGTCCAGACAAGCACTGTTTGATAAGTTAGTGACAAGAACTGGCACTCAAATTGCAGTTTTAAGTAGACACACAAAGTTTCAAGTCAAATCTTCAATTTGGCATATATAGATCCGACATACAAAATGTAGAAACATGTAGCTGGATATATGTGATATACAATTTTATATAATTTTATACATATTTATGCATGAAAAATTTTTTATCGGATTGTCATTCGCTCTTTTCATCACTTTGATCAAATTCTCTCTCTCTCTCTCTCTCTCTCTCTCTCTCTCTCTCTCTCTCTCTCTCTCTCTCTCTCTCTCTCTCTCTCTCTCTCGATTTGTTGCTTATTTTTTTATTACAAATTATAAGAAATGAAAAAGCCAATTATGCGTGTGCCCATTATTTGTTTTAGTTTTTTTTATTTTTTTAATACAAATATATCCGATACTGTATAAAATTTGTAATAAAATTGTTTCGGTATTAAGTTCCTGATTGGAAGCCATCGTCATTGCAACTGTTTCTTTCCGCGACTCTAATCGAATTCCGCCCCGACTTGTTCTGCACTTCTGATTTTGCTTACAATAGACATGTACGATTCTCTTCATTATTCAACTTCGTCAGTGATCTGTCCAAAAATGTAACGATAACTACATCCAGATTGTTTTTAAGGGGCCAGCACGAGCTGTTAATCCTCGTTCCTCCAAATCCTTAGTCGAGTCCATCCTGCCGTAAATTGGTACTACCACCCTGATTGCACAGAGAGAATCGTGACGTTATTATAACGTAAAAAGAAATCGGAGCTGGCCAGTGCATGCTTTACAATCGTGAAACGCACGTAACACACGTGTCGCTGCAAAATTAATAACTCGAGAACATTATCGAATTTAAGAAAAGACGTTACCTTCTTCCCTTTAGGTCATTCATCATCTCGGCTAAAATCGGCGCTAAAGCAATCGCTGCATAATAGTCCCTATAACCTTCAGCCCTATGTAGGTATTCATGCGTCTGCTCAACCAACGATTCTTCTACGTGTATAATCTCGTCAAACACGGACTGTCGGAAATTCGTCTTACACGTTTGATATTCTCTCTCGGGAATGTCCAACTCCATAGTCGTAGTCGTGTGTCTTGTCAAGCGATGAAATAAAGTATCGGTGTTTTCACTATGGATCTCCTAAGAATTGAGATTATAATTCACAAATTTATCTAAAGTGACGAGAGTATTTATCACGCAACAGCTAATTAGTGAAACGACAGTGTACCAAAGACACCTTGCATTACATCAAGAAAAGCATTTAATAACTTACAATAATTTTCACCGCTCGATTACATCCTTTGATGGCTATTGCGATACCTAATGACAATCCGCAACCATTGATTGTCGTCGGCAACAAAACTGTGTCGGCGCAAGAATTTTGACTCATGATCTCCAAGCCCAACGTAGCTTGGCCAATGATCATATTTGGATGATTGTTCCTATTTAGAAAATGTTAAATAATCCGGTCAGAAAATTATTGACGAAATGGGGATCTCTTGCAAGAATAATAATGATTAGAAACATATAAGGTCCCTCCTTTCAATTTAATTTTCAAATGAACTGTCAGGTGGGATTACAAGTATATAGGAAATAGAAGTAAGTGATAGAAATATTATCTTTTAACAAGAATATATTGTAGTTAAAATTTTACTAAGAATAGATAGTACCCGTCGAGATAAAATAGGCCCTGCACCTTGGCGATATTCAAAGCAATTATATGAGCCTCTACCATGTTTTTGCCCATGTTGAGCACTGTTGTTTGTGGGTTTTCATATTGCTTACAGCATGCGACATTTTGGCGTGACGTTGATACTGGCAGCACCACCGTCACCGGTATGCGAAATTTGCGTCCATAATGACAAAGAACAACAGCGAGGTTTCCCGTCGAGATTGTTATCACGCCCTTACGTTTGTGCTTTTCCGAGAGTTGTAGCAGCGTATAAACCACACCGCGCGCTTTAATGCTGTCAGTAATTTGCATAAGCTCCTTCTTTAAATAGATATCGAAACCTTCCTTTCTCAATAAACGTACGCTCTAAAGCAATCGTATTAGATAATCACATTAATCGCCCTTCAATTATTCTCCGTAATTCGCATTGCAGTGCGTACATCGAATTCACGTTTATATTGTATATAAATATATATATATGAAACAATAGTACAATTCGATATATAATTTAGCATACAACATGGTAAAATTATTATTCAAAATTATTCTTGAATTTGTTGTATTGACGAATTATAAAATAAGCAGTGCCGTTTAATCTACAGTCAATTATATTTCCCTTGTTAATATAGAAAACAGGAAGATACACTTTTAACTTGTTACACTTGATGATAGTTCTTATATTTCTGTACACTTGGGAATATTTAGATTTTGCGACTAATCTTGCGATTAATCGAAATTGCCGATGCTTTCAGGATCTAATAACGAGGTATTCAAGTACTTCGATTTATAGAGGAGAGTTCCCTATTACGAGATTAGGCTTCTAATGCGAGACAGCAGATTTTCAACGACAAATCTCTTTTTCGCGACGATTACACGATCTAACAATGAATTTTCTACTAAACAGATTTCATTTCAAGAGCACTAAATTCATGGTGGAACCAATAAATGATGCTTGTTAATTTAACAGAAACCCCGCTATTTCATATTAGGAGCTTGTCTCATAATAAAGGACTTTCCTCTACTGATTTTGCTAAAAGTATGTGTTAGCAGCTTTCTTAAATTTAAAAGGCCCTATGGTGTTTGTTACCGGATTACAGGGTGTTTCCAAGAGGTAACATTTCAGTAAAGACGCCGCCGATATGATAGACTGATACGAGATTTCAAGTTGTCGGTCTGGGCTTGATTTGTCATATCCCTTTTCAACTACGGTCTGCAAAAAGCATTAAATTGGCTGATTAATTTTCCTATGTCACTGAATGTAGATACAACATGTGTTGCGATTATTACTTTGCATTTTTATTATTGTTATTGTTATATGAACATCGAACGAAGGAGTATCTTTATTTCTCGATAATTATTTTCAAAATTGCCGAAATATTGTCATAAATGCAATTACGCGCAATCTACACATCAGCGATGCACGCAGGAATATAATTGTTTCGAATTATAATTTATAAAATTCGAAATACCCATTTGGAAGTATTTTTTTCTCGTCGATCGAAGGGGCGGGCCACGGTATAGGAAAACGTCATGGAGTCATCTTCAGGTGTCGCACGCTTCTTTACTTCCGTACCGATGTTGTCTCTGAAATTACGTAGATATACGTACAAAGTTAAAGAATTGCTTGCCTCACGAGAATCGCTTGAAACACAATTGCGGAAATTACCGATTCATGCCGAAGAATATATTGAGCTTGACGTTTGCCTGCCTTTTGCCCCTTTCTCTCACAGAACCGACGAGCTTGTCGTCAATAATAATACACCTCACCGCTCTTTCCGAAGTCTTCCTTCTTCCGCGATAAGAAAAACGAGAGTGTGTATGTATGTGTGCGTATATACATTGTATAAGACGTGTCTCTATGAATTTTGTAGCAGCCAATGTCACTCGACCAATAGCGAAGGGAATGTACAGGAATATATGTATAGATATAAGCTTTAAGTGATATTTTGATGCATATATAGTCATTGGTACATATTCTGAATCTCTTTTATCGATAAAAGTGCCACGAAAATTGATTTTGAAGGATTCTCATTGGCTGAAAAGACTTTTTTACAGGCGCTTAGATCGATGAAAGAGAATTCAGAATATATGTAGACTTTATCTTTAAAAGTTGCACCGCGATAGATTTTGCGAGTCGCGTATTTGCACGTTCCATGTATTTTTGCGTTATAAAAGGACGGAGCTGTACATACAATTGGAAATATGCCGAATATTCTCCTACTTGTTGTACTTAATTTTTAATAAGAAAGAAACCGCGGTGGCATATTATTAACCCAGAGACCACTAATTGTAGCGCGTCTTATAAGACACGTTTTAAAAGTGTCGGAGAGACTGAAAACGTTTTAATTCCCTGCAATCCAACTAACAGTTAACTTACAATTTTAAATATATTTTTCAGAGTGAAAGAAAGACGATCTACAACTTATGAAACAGTACAATGCGTGTGTACGCTTATAAGTTGTAGCGAAGAAATTAAATGAAAATCAAAAACAAATATGATTTCAAATTTAACTTTTCTATCGATGCCAATTAATTTCAATCTCGACATATTTAACTAACCTTTTATCTTTTTCCAGTGCCAATAATTAAAAAAAGGATAGAAAAAAAAAGTTATGTAAGAAAATATTGTAAAATTAATTTAGCATCGGTAAAAAGTGAACACGAAAGGCGTCTTTCAAGCCCGATCTACAATGTGCTCTCTGCGATTCGAAACATTCTATTTTGCGTAAGCAAATCAATAATATGTTTAAAAAATTTGTTAACAACGCACGACTTGTATACAGGTGTATATTTTGTCAACCTGCACGAGTTTTTGTAAACGTATATTTAGCTGCAAAATAAAATGTCTCTACCCAAGGAGAACAAAAAGTCAGGATGATGTCAATTTGATAATGTCACATTGACCAAATTCATGTCAAGTTTTGGCCAATTTAATGCCATACTGACCCAAATTTGACACAAATTTGGTCAATATGACGTCAAATTGACATCATCTTGACTTTTTGTTCTCCTTGGGTAGACGCAAAGTGCACATTGTAGCTCAAGGGCTCGATCATGAATCTTTTATCTCCGGCATGAACTCGTGAAACGTGAGAAAGTTTCATTGACGAGTTTTATACACCAATGAAATTTTTCATTTCTCACAAGTTCACGCTAGAGAAAACCCAAGGAGAAAAAAAAGTCAGAATGATGTCTCAATTTGACGATGTCACATTGACCAAATTCATGTCAAATTTTGGCCAATTTAATGCCATACTGATCCAAATTTGACACAAATTTGGTCAATATGACGTCAAATTGACATCATCTTGACTTTTTGTTCTCCTTGGGAAAGATTCATGATCGAGCCCACAGCTGATGCTTTCAACGCGCATCTGTTACCATCGGAGAACTCACCTGAGATTTATCGTCCGAGCAAACGCGGCGGTCTCTCGCCGCTGTAATCGTAGGGGGCCCCGTAAGCGGCGGTGCGAGTAGAGCGCGCGCCCGCGATTGCCACGGCGGATAACTTGGCTGCCGTTGTTGCTGCTGCTGCTGCTGCTGCTGCTGTTGCTGCTGCACACCGCTGGACACCGCGGAGGAGGGCTCACGTCAAGGCGGGTCGGTCACCTGGAGATAACTGTAAAATGTCATCGGCGAATGTGTGTCAGGCATGGACTTGACGCCGCGCACGACCGCGACACCGCACGCTGGCTGGCTCGCGACCGCTCTGTCAATTATGCCGCCGCGTTCCTGAGGTGAGGCAGAGGCAGCCCGCGTACATCGCAACATCCGGAACTGGCCCCGACGTAGGCGCGAACGAGGAAGTATGTAATAAGGAGTTGGATCCCCGCGGAGAATCCCGTCGGTGTGCGCGCAACTCTTTGTCGCTTACACGCTCTCTCCTCCCGCTCGGTCTCTCTCTCTCTCTTTCTCTCTTTCTGTGTATGCGTGTGTCTCTGTCTCGCTTCCTCTTCCTCTCGTCGCCTTTTCCTCGCCTCGCGAGAATTCGCACGGGACGCACCGGGCGTGTTGCATAGGTCGATTACGAAACTCCTGCCGCGCCGGATACGCCGCGTTATCGGCGATACTTTTGGCCCGCGAGGAGATTATCGCGTCTCCGCCGGCGGACCGTCGCGGGACGCCCCGCGTTCTCGTGTCATTCAGCCGTCGTAGCCGGGCACCCTCGGAGCGATATGAATGATTCACTGACATGGGAAAGAGCCAGCGTGAAAAACGTGAATAAGAGGACGTATCTTTGACACCACGGGAGGAGATGGAGAGAGAGAGACGGGGATAACGAGTGTTTAAATTACTTTTAAACGTCATTGATTAATAACGCATTTATTTATGTTATTTTTGTAATCCTTCATTGATTATCCCGGATGTTTACACATCCGGCTTAGTTTTTTCTCTCTGTATCTAAAATGTACTCCGTTCTTTAAAAATATAAATCCTCGCTGTACTCCTGTCAGTCTCGAGTATACGTGCTGTGAATCGTAAATTTTCTTCTGCGCCGTGTAAAGGAAGACCGTCAGGTTTCGTTGACCATTCGATGAGTCTGGAAACTCAGCTGAAATAGACCTTTAATTTTTAGATGTGACAAGCTTGACCTGCCCATCTACAAGTTCGTGTGTACGTTGCAGGGAAAAAGTCGCACAGCACCATGGAGGGGGCAGAGGTTACGTTTTTATTCCAATTCGGTCTGATACGCGACACGGTCACGGTCGACAGCAGCACGCTTACTCTTAAGGCCCTGAAAGACCTCGCCTGTGATTTTATGAACACCAAGTGTCCGGAGCACGGACTGAATCATCTGTTTGAGAGACTAATTTTGTTCAAGCACGATTACAATTCCACCAATGTTTTGCAGCTGGTTACAAACGCTACGGAGGTGGTGGACGAGACGCTGGTGGAAATCGTATTGACTGGTAAGAGAAGCCCACGCGCGCTGCAGCGACTTTCAATCGACGCTTACCTTAGCGCACACGCGCGTCGCACGCGCGAATAATTGCGAAAGAAACACTGTGATGTTTTATTTTTAGCACAAGTGCCAAACGAATACATTCCCATTCGACCTCATGCCTTAGCGGTACATTCCTACAAAGTTCCGACGTTCTGCGATTTTTGCGGCGAAATGTTGTTCGGACTCGTTCGACAAGGTCTCAAGTGCGAAGGTAAACTCGTGATGAATACTTAAGAGCTTTGGCGATATAAGCGAAACGCGTGCGTTTCTTTTGGATAATCTTGACTGGTCTAATAGAAGATATGCTTGTATACATTTTTAGGTTGCGGTATGAACTACCACAAAAGATGCGTCATCAAAGTACCGAATAACTGTTCGCAAGATGCGAGTCAAAGACGGCGCAGCTCGGCCATGCTGAACGTACCAAGATCGCCGAGTCAGGGCTCCACTAGCAGCCTGACGAGCAATACCGACGATAATCACAGTTCAAATAGTACACTTAACACAAGCCAAAATAATAGTACATTGGTATGAGCGAAAGTATTATCCGTTTGATTTTTATGTATACACCTTTCGAAAAGGAAAGCAAATAAATGCGGCTGATATTTGTTTCTTATTCCTTTTTCTTTTGCGAAATTCTTCGTGCGTCTGAATAAAATTTATACTATATCTTGTAGGCAATACCGAGTATAATGGCACCAAAACAGTCCTCTTCGCCGATATTAGGAGGGCGGCCCGTTTGGGTGGAGCGAGAGCTCGCAACGCGAATAAAAATCCCGCACACATTCGTAGTGCACACGTACACACGTCCGACTGTATGCGGGCACTGTAAAAAGTTGCTAAAGGGTATATTTAAGCAAGGCCTTCAGTGTAAAGATTGTCAATACAACACGCACAAAAAGTGTATGGATAAAATACCAAAAGACTGCACCGGGGAAAATCCACGAGATAATATAGGTAGAATGCTTTGTATGTGATTTTTAAGTAATTCGTAGCTTCGTATCTTTCGGTTGTAATAAGTTGAGATGCTTCCCTAGGCGAGTACACAGATAGCGGCGTTGGCAGTGAGCTAGAAACCAAATGTGATATTAGGAATGAAGAAGCCGATGTTGACAGCGACACGGAATCATCGCATCTAACACAAGACGCGTCGTTTACAAATAATGAGAATAAAATGCCCGGTGATTACACAGTAAGTTGTTCCTTCTCTTTTCTACGAAGAGTAGAGTCGCCAAGTGCAGGTAATTTTCGAAAGAAAAGCCTTCTAACATTAAGATTGTGTGCTTGCAGGATCATGCACGATGTAACGATGAAGTTGTTTACGATGAATATCAGAAATCACGACCGTCAAGGTGAGTCTCTGCTTTATTAATCACGATTGTTAAATCTTATTATTTTATGTGAGACACTTTATCATTTTTCTAATATTGCACTTTCTTTTCCCCTTTATTTAAAAAAAAAACAGCTGCAATTCTACACCAAGTAACAACATTCCATTGATGCGAATAGTACAAAGTGTGAAACATACTAAAAAACGTGGGTCTAAAGTATTAAAGGAAGGTTGGATGGTGCATTTTACAAATCGCGATCCAATTGTGAGTATTCTAATATTTTCTGATATTATTTAAATTATTAATTACTGAATATAAATGGGTAGACTCGAATAAAATTATTTACGAATGTTTTCAGAGAAAGAAACATTATTGGCGTCTTGACACAAAGTCCATAACGCTATTCCAAAGCGAGAATGGTTCTAAATATTACAAGGAGATACCATTGGCTGAAATTTCAGCAATTGAAACTGCTAAAACGCCTCGTTCATGTATGTTCTTGTTTGCAAACGAGTTAGAAGTTTTTATTAGTGCATTTTCTTCTTTTTTTTCTCCTTTTTTTTAAGATCTCACGTGTTAAACCCAACTAGCTTTCCTCAGTTGAACTTCTTACACATTCTGCCTACTTTGTATTGTAGATATAATGCATTGCTTTGAGCTAAAAACTGCCAATGCCGATTACTATGTCGGGGAGGATCCATCATATGGAGATAATTGCGGCCAAGTCTCTCCTCCCGAAAGTGGTATCGGAGCTCACATAGCTAGATCGTGGGAAACTACTATTAGACAAGCACTTATGCCTGTAACTGTGTCGACTAGTATGTATATTTGGTTCGCTATCGTGACACCTTGTGCAAAATGATAACAAAATTTTTTCCGTACCTCTTATTAGTTTATATTTTACATTTCTCCTATTATTTCGTTACGATAGAGTATCTTGTATTGAAATGTTACTTAATTTTCTGGAGACAAATGATACAGAGGGTATTGCGTTTGTGTTATAGATCAGGAAGAACCTGCGGAGCCTACTGAACCGGAGGAAAATGTTACCGACATGTCACAATTGTATCAGATCTTCCCGGATGAGGTTCTAGGGTCCGGACAATTCGGCATAGTTTACGGGGGCGTTCATCGCAAGAGCGGCCGCGCGGTCGCCATAAAGGTCATCGATAAACTGCGCTTTCCCACCAAGCAAGAAGCCCAGCTGAAAAACGAAGTGGCCATCCTGCAAAATCTGTCGCATAGCGGAGTGGTGAATCTAGAGCGTATGTTCGAGACTACCGAGCGGATATTCGTGGTGATGGAGAAGCTGAAGGGCGACATGCTGGAAATGATCTTGAGCTCCGAAAGGGGACGACTCAGCGAGCGAATAACCAAGTTCCTCGTGACGCAAATTCTGGTTGCGCTGAAACACCTCCACAGCAAGAACATCGTGCACTGCGACCTGAAGCCCGAGAACGTGTTACTGAGCAGCGACACGGACTTCACCCAGGTGAAATTATGCGACTTCGGATACGCGCGGATAATCGGCGAGAAGAGCTTCCGGAGGAGCGTCGTCGGCACACCAGCGTACCTGGCGCCGGAGGTTTTGCGAAACAAAGGCTACAATCGGTCCTTAGACATGTGGAGCGTAGGCGTGATTATATACGTGTCATTAAGCGGCACCTTTCCCTTTAACGAGGAAGAGGATATTAATGAACAGATCCAGAACGCCGCCTTTATGTATCCGCCAACCCCGTGGAAGGAAATTTCAAGCGATGGTAATTCGCACTTCCGTTATTTCTCCGTGGATTGCTTTTGACGAGCGAGCGTGATATTAGCGTACCAGATCGTCTCTTTATAAATAGTATAAATCAATACATTTTTTTTCACGTTATTTTCGTATCTTTCAGCTATTGATTTGATTAATAATCTTCTGCAAGTTAAGCAGAGAAAGAGATACACCGTGGACAGAAGCTTGCAACACGTGTGGCTACAAGTAAGCGCTATTTTCGTACTTTCAGTCGATTGTCCTTGATCTAATCATTATTAATTATTATTAAAAAAATTCCCTTTTTCTAAGGATTATCAAACGTGGTGCGATTTGAGGAAATTGGAGCAGAAAGTTGGCTATCGCTACTTGACCCACGAAAGCGACGACGCACGTTGGATGGCGTACAGTAATCAAGAGACATGACAGAACTGTTCGCCTGTTTTGAACATCGAGGCATTACCGACTTCCTTGTCACTGCACAAAGGCTGGGCCCGATATGCTCGGGCTACTCTACGGCGGTTTATTCGTGCCTGACTCAGTAAAAGTACGTGAAAACTAGTACAACTTTAGTCTTTCGGGCGATATCCCGAATATCGTTCTCCATTTTAGAGTGGAATCGACATCGGCATTCTGAATTTGCATTTGGGATACTTTCTCTAAAATAACGTTATTAAACATAACATTCAGGAAGCTTCCATAACGTTAACATTCCCACAAAGTGGTCCTAGCACAAAAGGATTTTGATTCGCGATATAGTACACGTAGCGATAAATATAGAAACGATAAGTGCAGAATGCTCTGAGAACAGTAACCCTTGTTCGTGAAACATTTAGATCGAAATGCCGCGGTTGCTTAGTAGGTATCCAACCAAATTCCATTTTAAATGCCTACTTCAGATTTTATTTGCAGAGTTTATCTCTGTGTAATTTAAACTGCATTATAACTATGAGCACTTCTATTGCTTTAATTCTAGATTATATTTAGAATAATGTTACTTTATAAAGTATTTTTAATGTTTTATAAATTTATTATTTTTATTATGCTCTTTTTAGGGTGACTTTATATTTTATTGTTATAATTTGCTTTTTAATGTGTAATGATAATCTCAAATTTATTCCTTATTTGCATAATATATACATATTTGTACTAACATATAACTTGAAATGATAAGAGAGATACAGGGAACTCAATTGAAAACTTTATTTGCTTTTATAGCAAATTAATAGTGAATATAAGTAACCCATGCATAGAATTTTTTTTTTACATAAATTAATTTCATTAGTGCCTTTTCATTTTGCGTGTAAATTAATATATATTCTTATTTATTCTAAATCAAAATATATTACTAAATTATTGAATAGTTTAATATGGATTAATAATTGCGATGATAATATAATTAATTTATAATAATTATCATAAATATTTAGGAAGAAAATCCACAATGTATATTTCTGTATCACAATCTCAATCAATTAATCCTTAAAAATGTTCTATGTATGGGTATTGATATAATCACTGACATTAAGACGTACTAGATCATCATATATACAAGTTGATATCGATCAAATAGTTTATGTTGCGATATAATTTAAATGTTAAAATATATTTTTACGTTTTCAATCTCTATAAAGTATTGGTATGTTTTAAACATTTGGAAAAAGGATTTTTAGAAAGTAAAAAGTTTTATCGAAATTTTTAAAGATCTTATAAAAATTGAGATTTGTTTTATATATACATTACAAATTTTACAAGCTTCGCTTCCAAGAGGCAGATGTTTTATGTGAAGAAAGTATAATCATAATATATATTAATTTAAAGTATAGCATATATGTTAATACAATATGTTAATTTGATGTGTAGAAAGGAGTATAAAACGGTGATATGGTATCTCAATTTTCGTTAACAGCAATTGGCGAATCTCTATATCCAAGCTTCATAGCTTTAAAAAAGGATATCTCGTTTTCTCTTTGCGATTATTATACGATATTAGAATGTTGTGATTAGAGTGAATTGAATGGATACTTGAATGAATACTTAAATGCGGCGGCTACGTACTCTCTTTCTAAAATATGCTTATTGATGGCATGGAACAATGATTGTGTCAGTAGTCAATATGCTAAATGAAGTTGACTTACAATTAGATTAGCAAGCTAGAAATTAGTATTATGTGCGAGAGAACTTATTAAGAAAATTATTAAGATGGTGCAAGAACGATTTGTCACATTTGTTAAATAGAAATCGCATAATCTCGAAACTATTTTTATTGAATAAAATAATCAACTCCAACACACATTTTGCTTCCATAGAGAAACTATCATCTAATATTATCCATTTAAAAAAAGATCAATAATTCTCTATTTTAAAATTTAAACAGAATTTCAAGTATTAGATCGCCAGTGCTTAATAAACCTTACTTAAAAATTTAATTTCGAAAATGACAAAGGCTCTTGCACCCGCCTAGTAATTTATTCAAATGAACTTATTCGAAATATTTCACAGTTAGATATCTGCGACAAAGATAAGGTGCAATTTTCCCGGAGGAAATATTTCTATATTTAATAACTACTATAAAGAGAATATATTCGACCTTGAATAGTTTGGTACGCATTGGATCGTAAATTGGCATTATATATACACCCTTATAAAAATACGGCCTATATCTTTACCACAACCTTTATAAGTAGTAGAGTAGAAAATTTTTTTTCATTTTGTACCGTATGTAACGCAATAGTGCGATTTTTACGTTTCTTAAGAACATAGTAAATATATCCAGCGAGGATAACTACAATGCAAAATGACGATAAACATAATCGATATACTTGTAACATAAGAGATATAAACGCGCGCGCGTCAACACAGGCGTTAATTGTTATATTTTATAATAACTTTTAAAAGTTTATCGTGTAATCCTATCTGTAGAGGATATCGTAGATGTCAATGTCTCTATGCGCATATTACACGCATTTATATTTAAGAAACCTACCTACGCTACGCAAATGTAATCTGTAAGTCGTGCGCGCGCGATCAGCCTCGCGCTCGCGGAAAAAACGCATTTACAATACTCGACGCATTTAATGCCAGGCATTTAAATGTTCTTCCCGCATAAGAGGAAGGAAGGATAACTCCAATGTAGGAACAAATGCTGTAATCTCTTATACTTACTGTCGCGCTAATCTTATGCTTTACGCGTGTTCGCGGTTGGAGAAGGCAGGATGTAACGTAGATATGAGCAAACGTTCGTGCTTGAATAAGAGTTTTATTGACTCTCATGTAATCGCGCGCAAATTTGACTTGTATTTTATTCCATATTTTTAAGCGGAATTATTATATTTCTAAACCAAGACGGCGATGTATCCGCGCAGATGACGCGTACATTACGCAATCTGATGCTCCAGGGAAAAAAAAGGAAAGAAAGCATCGCATTATCGTAAAGCGCAAACGCTTGAACGATATATCGATTGCCGGCTTATGTACTTAGTGCCAGGTTGAAAGTCCGATTTTATATGTTAATTCCTGTTTGCCGTAGCAGTAACGAGGGATAATCGTATCAGTGCGACAGCCCCGATTCATATACGCGCGTTTCTCCTCGCAATGCGTTAGATCGAGCGAAAGGGAGGATGGCTTTTCAGTGCCACGTGTGAGTTTTGATATTAAAATTAATTTGTACAATATTATTCTGAGCCTTCTATCTGAACAATGGTACCAATAAACTCGGAATTTGCCTTATCTCATCCAGAAAGTAACACGCTCTTACGTTATTTATTCCCTCCCCCCCGCGTCCTCCCTGAAATCTCTTTCCTGGAAAATCACGTCGCTCGTTGCGCGTCGGCATCACGAGAGAAGGACAAGTCGTGACAAATTGAATTAGCGTCATGCGAGATAAATGGCGGAGAAGTCGAAGAGACGTAAGGAGCGACCTTTTCTGTAACATCCGTTCCCGGCGCATGAACATCATCAGCCGTTTCGTTCTCTTTAATCCTAACAGAACATCTCTGCTGGAAATAATGGTGTCCCTTCGCGCGTGTCACCTGCAACATGTCCAGACCCGACGCCGGACAGTTTCCGGATCACGGATGTACAGTAGGGACCGGGAGAGCCACGCGTGTTGTCCGACGACGACGACGACGTCGCCGAGAACGAGATGCGTTTTGCCCGCGGGATAGCGTACGATAATAAATAACGTTGCGCCCAAATATGTTGGCGCGCGGCGCGTTTTGCGCTCTGTGCACAATTATCATAGTTTTCCTGGAAGTTAACGTGGCGGAATGGGTGGACATGCCGCAGTTCTCGGACGAGACCAAGATTTACCGGTAAGTCAAGTTGCCTCGTCGCATTCCCCGGGTCATCCTGGATTAACGTCGCTCTTGTGTACTCTTCAAGGATACCTTCTGTACAGTACGACCAGTTTTACAAGTTTCGACGGGGCGGCGCGGACAACATTGATTTTCCCGGTGGTCAACGAAACGGTAGCGAGGCTTATCATCATCCAGCTAAAGCCACGCGTGTGATGCAAAATAAGAGGACGGAGATTGAGAAGATTAATTCCATCTCGGTGTCGACAACGCCGGCGAACTTGTTTCCCGATCAAATCTCCGACAGTCTCTCGGGCATCGGTACAAGTCGCACCGTGACGATCGTCGACGCTGCGACTGAGGTGACGAAAAGTTGGATAAGCGTTGGCTGAAATTAATTTTAAACCTGTATACAAATAAAACAATTTATTGGTTCAGTTAGACACTGTACATGTTCGATGTTTTAGAATAAATTAAATCACAAAGACGATGCAATCTCACCGACAAAGGATACAATGATTAACACACTTACAACTCAACCATCACCGAACACCAAACAACAAACGTCGCGAGATACATATGACAACGACACGTCGAAGCGGGACGACGGTATATTCCAGTACCTGCCCGTAGACGTGCTCAAAAGTGTTCACCGCACTTTACAATCACAGCCGCAGTCGATCGAGGGAAAGCTTCACTTTCTCAAAACGTTCGAGAAGACGCTAATGTCGGAGATAGGTAATACTTGCCTCTTGACGCGCTATCACGATGCGACAGTATCTCACGTATCTTATTCACCGACAGAGTCTCGCCTTACCACTACTATGGCACCGAGTCGCAAAATAAGAGGTGTCGATTATTACGGACACGAGGATCACGACGACCATTCTGTAGGATTTCCTTCGATAGAAGGCACACTGATGGCCATATCGTTTCTCACGTTCGCAGTCTATCTCGTCCGATTAGTCATGGTAAGGAATATACCTCGAGACACCGAGCGCCCGGCAACTGGGATTAATACTAACTGTAATATTGCACCTTACTTCTTTGGCATATATATTGCTGATAATAAAATCATTGCAGCTTCTCCTCCGGAATATTAACATGCCCACGACCACCACAACCGTCTCCTCGGTATTTCTCGGTAGAAGAAAACGATCCGCCGATCTCGACGACGACACCGCTAGGATACTCAATAACATTAATCTCGTTCCTGATCTCTAAGTTGTAATATAAAATAGTGTGTTACTGGTGGTGGGAAACACAGCTGGAAAATGGGTGATTCTATATAAAAAAATATGTCAAAAATATAATAGCAACATTTTTTCATACAAAGCTTCATTTTTGAGGAAATCGTTGAAGTTAAAAGAATTTCAAAACTTCAAAACTTCATGTACGTTTATAGAAAAGTTAAGAATTATCCGATCGTAATAATGACGATTTGCCTATTTTTAATCCGCTTCCATGACAGCAAAGCATTGTATGAGAAAATCTTACGGGAATTTTTTATCTCTTTCTTTCTCTACGTAAGAACAATAGAGTTTCTCGATTATGGTGTACCCTGTATATCTGCAGCCGATATTAGAGCGGAATGTAACAGCGACATATCAACGTATATCTCACAACTAAAATCAATTAATCGTTCTTAATTAGCGCCAATACTGTTAGTTAGGCTAGTATTCATAGTCGGATCTTATATTCAAGACTGTCTCAAGATCATCTCTAGATACTCCGTAGCCAATGAAATGTTCCGTACAGCATCTTTAGATAAATTCAAGACGATCTTGAGCACAAGATCCGACTATAAATACCGGCCTTAGTTTTAATACTGTTAGTAGTCTTGGCATACAAAATTCATTGTTTCACTAATAAACTGTTATAACTTGGCTTGTACATCCATCGATGGTGTTGAAATGATCAAAGGCAATGCATCGACGTAGCTTCCCATGGGACGCCGTAATGGTAATTCGCGCAGTGCACCGATGAGATGCGCCAACTTTACTCTGTCCGTTTGATACGCATTGATATGTTTCTGGTGTACGATAACACCTTGCGATAATAAGTTAGACCACGTTGTGTTGTACAAATCAAGAGATAAACAGTAGGGATGTTGACACCGGTCCTTAGTCTCGAGTATTAATCTTTCTACTTCCTTCTGCGTTTCGACGAGAATTGTCTGATTCGTGAGCTCGACGGACGTTCTCTCGGTCCACTAAAAAGGGGAGTAAACGTATTGTTTATAACGCACTGTCTCTCGTTAGATTTAGAATCTCTTTTAGATAAGTTTCTTACCTCGGACAATAAGATACATATCACGTATATAACGTCTATGAAAGGTAATATAACATTATGCAAGATGGAAAACAATTTAGTGTTATTTCCTATAAAAATTAAGTCATTCGCCGTGTACAAGCAGTTCTGTGATAGCAATATATTCAGTGACTTCTCCCATTCTATCTTGAGCAAAACTCTGTCTTCGCTCGGGCACAGTACAAATTCTGTGCCGAGCAATCCTCTTAACAGCTCGTATCGTTCCAAAGCTACTTCTGCAAATAAAATAGGAGATAAGATCGATAAAAATAGAACAGTTGCTTTTCTTTATCAGTGTAAAAGCTATAAGATATGTAAGAATAAGCCTTTTAATTACATTTGCATGGAAAGAAAGTAGCAATTACTTCGTGTATTTTATTATTATTATATCAATCGCTAAATAAATAGTAACGTATTCATTGCCATTTGTGTATTTGCATTACCGCTTTGGGTGCCGTTCTCTCCTATAGTTGCAGCAACGAGTGCAGTCCCCACCAGATATGCCAAGGTCGGATTGGTATAGATTGCTATATTAATGGCAGATACCGCTATTTGCAGGGTCCGTTCAGACAGAGGATGTCCCTTGATATTTGAACAATTCATTTGTTTCGTTCCTTTGTGCCTCTGTTTGATTTTTAACATGCCCGATGAGTCAACAACCATTAGTTCGTCATGCGGTTTTAAGGACTGCAATATTTCCTGTCTTATCCCATCATTATCAGTACTGCAAACAAACAAGTCACATAATGCATTCTAAAGAGGATTATAACAGTCATTTAAACGTATCTACGTCTCATAGCTAACTTAATTAATCAAAGTGACTAATGTCGTATATGTGGCACATCAATTGTCGCAGTTCCAAGCTACATAATGCGGCAAATAGATCCAATACTCACGTTTCCATTTCATACATTAAAGCTTTCAATGACCCAGTAACGAAGCTCTTGAACCACCGATAATCCTCGATCAATAAATCGAGCGTATACGGCTCCCCTGGTTTCAGCTGGATTCTCTCGTTGACAAGTGAGGCGATGATATTGATCGGCATGAGTACAGTATTCTTCTTGTGTGTCTCTATTATACGATAGGCAATAGTCTCCACAACGTGCGACGGAACTCTGAAGGAGGGCTGTAGAACTTTCCTCTGTCGGTACGCTCTGTCCACGAATCGGCTGGCGGGTATCGGTTCGCCGATGTTGAAGAAAATGCGCCCGTGAGAGAAGGGTTTCTGCAGAATGGAGAGCGAGCGGAACAGTCCGCTCGTGCTCTCCTTCGGCTTCGGTAACCCCAGCATCTCGTAAACAAATAACAACTCTTCCGGCGGTCGTTCGTAATTGATGCTCATAGGCACGAAGTGTATGTCGGGTACGTCGCCTTGAAGTAAACTCTCTACGATGATGGACAGGAGGCCTGCGAACGAGCGAGACTTAATATTTCATTCGTAATTTTGAAATCGCTGGGAAAGATCATTCGCGCCCACCGTATTTCGGCATCGTGCTCTTCTGGCTGCGGCTCCGCGTACCCTCGATAAAAAATTCAATCGCCCTGTCGCTGTGACTGACGATAGTGTTGATGTACGAACGGAAGATCTGTTTGTACAATATGTCGTTGGAGAAACTGCGCCGTATATAAAACGCCCCGGTCTTACGCAGCAGCTCTCCCACTATCTTCATATTATAAAAATCCATGCCGGCTGCGATGTTCGGTAGCGCCATGTCGTAGGAGAAGAGAATGTACGACAGGAGAATAAAGTCCATGTAGCTCCTGTGCGACGGCACGTAAACGTACTGCACCTGCGATACCCGCGTCTTCCTCTTCAAGTCGGACAGCATGGTCTCGTTTATGTAAATCCTCGAGAACATCCTCTTCATGGCTTTCGTGATAAAAATACCTGAAAATTTCAAGCGTAAGTTTAAGACATCCACAAACTCGCTTGAATCCAGCGACTCAATCGATTAGATTAAAAGGCTGCAATTTCATTTTATCTCGCTGAGACAACGGATACGGAGAGCGTCCTCGATTGACGAGTCATACAATGTGTTCCAGCAAACACAGAACCTTGCAACAACGTTGCGGCTACGTTATAATATCGCTGCAATGTCACAACATTGCCGTGACGGTGCCGCAATGTTCTGCGTTCGCCGGACGTCTTTCTAACTCGTGGCAAATGTGTTACGGGATAAAATAATGAATGCGTACATGAAAGTCAAGGTAACGCGATATTCATCAGAGATACCTAGCCAACGGACCGTCGCCAGGTCTGCTTTACTAGCCATCTCGTTGATCATGGCACTGGCGCTGCCCTCGACGTCCTTAATCGCGACCCCCGTCGTTCTCGCTATCGTGTCGATGGCAAGTCGGACCTGCTTGTCGAGCAAGACAGCCTGTATGACGCTCTCCCGGTCGTAGACCGACTCCGACGGCAGCATATGCGGCAGCAACGGGTCCATGGTCCGCGTCGCCCACAGAAGGTCGCATTCCCGCCGTCTGTCCTCCAGCATGTCGACGAAGCCGGCGTCCCGCTCCATCTCGCCCGTCAACGCCGATCCGTCCCTCACCGTGTTCTCAATATTCGCCGAGGTCCGCCAGGTCTGTCAGCTTAGGCTCCGCCGACTCGCTTTGCGAGTGGGTCAGTTTTAAAGCGTCCGACCGCTGGATTCCAAATCTCACGTGAGGCGAGACCTCACTCGGGTCTCTCACATGATGAAAATGTCTCTTGCGTAAACAACGTCTGGTAGGAAAACAGAAAGAAGAGATAAACTCGCAGTTTTGACGGGACAAAAATAAGCGCGAGACAAACGGCGCGGCGTAATCTTTTCTATAGAAAAAAAGAAAATTCGCGAGTCGACACTACTGCAGGTTGAAACTGAGAGAAACCTTTCCGCTCTTGCTCCTCCTATTCTCTCACATCTGATTGTCCGCGGAGACAGTATGCCACATTAGCTGGCTGCCGCCATCTTGGAATTCCTGACGCGTACCGCGTAACCGCGGGTCCACATGCGCGGTCTTTAGGGTCTGTCCGGACGAACTTGCACAGCGCGTAAACGCGCGCAAGTACGGAACCCGATTGGACCTATAAATAAGGAAATAGACCAATCAATTTTTTATGCATACGCTTAGGCACCTGTGTATGTTTGTTCGGCTGGCATTGACTACGTTTCCACCGAGGGTCAGAGTCGGGCTAGAGTCGGGTCAGAATCGGGTTGGGGTTAGGTGTTTCTACCGCAAAAACACTCACCCCAACCCGATTCTGACCCGACTCTGACCCTCGGTGGAAACGTATAGTCATATATGACTACCTTTCCAACGAGGGTCAGAGTCGGGCTAGAGTCGGGTCAGAATCGGGTTGGGGTGAGCGTTTTTGCGGTGGAAACACCAAACCGGGTCAGAATCGAGTTGGGGTTTGGTGTTTCCACCGCAAAAACGCTCACCCCAACCCGATTCTGACCTGACTCTAGCCCGACTCTGACCTCGGTGGAAAGGTAGTCTATGTTCTAAGGTTTGCACATAGGACGCAGTACGGGCTCAACATGGCGGTCGGCCAATCAGCAAGCGAGATTGCGCTTCCCTTGGCTGCTTTCGCGAGAAGATCAAAATGATTCCGATTAAAATGATCTTGTGCTGCGATCAGTCAAATCTGAAGTTTCATAGCTTCACATTGAAATTTTGTATTCAATAAAATTCCAGATTTGACCAGTTATAGCACAAGGTCATTTCAATCTGGATCATTTTGATCTTCTCGCGAAAGCAGCCCTTATTATTTTTTAGGACTCTACTCAGTAGCCAACGAAATGTTCCATACAACATCTTTAGATAGATCCAAGACGGTCTTGAACGCAAGATCTGCAGACTATGAACACCGGTCCAAGCTGTCTTTTAGGGCCAGTTTCACAAACATCGGTTATCTGTTAACTAGGGTTCAGTCAACTCCCTATCTTTTTCTATCTTGTTCTTTAAGGGCCAGTTTCACAAGCGTCGTTTCACCGCTAACCCATGGTTAATTGATCCTCCGTCTCTTCTTGGATAACAAGATAGAGAAAGATAGGAAGTCGACTGAGCTCTGGTTAACAGTTAACCGACGTTTGTGAAACTGGCCGACCTAAGAAGAGACAGAGAATCAATAATTAACCGTCAGTTAGCAGTTAACCGACCTTTGTGAAACTGGCCCTTAGACACGCATTGATGTTCGCGATAATTTACAGTCGGCAGAAAATTTGTCAATTGTTTCGGCTCGGCGACGAACGATCGAATCGATCGAAACGACATTTTGCAAACGCGCGACATGTAATTTTCACTTTACAGCAAGCCATGTCTCCTCGGGACGGAAAGTGTTCCACGAATCACGCGACGTACGATTGACTGAGGAAGCCGCGGCGACATGAGGAAGGTACCGAGCAAACGCGGCCTCGCAAAATTGCCGCGCTCGCGGCTGCCGCAGAAGCCGTACGGGTTCTGCTGCGAGGAGAAGGATCAGGATCCCGATAAGCGCTACGACATGCGGAACCCGCCGTTCGCGTCGTCCTTGACGAACGTCGTCGTAGGCAGCGGCGGACCCGGGGTGAAGTTTCGCGTACAGGACATCGGGCCGCCGCCTTATCCGATTCAGCGCCGAATCCTCGAGGCCAAGGGCCGAGCTTATCTGGGACGGTGCAAACGATGCCGAGGTCCCCTACGATGGTACCTGGAGGACGAGATCGCGCTCGCGCGCGAATTCCTCGCTAAGGAGAGACAGGCCAATTACAACGCGAGCGCGAAAAGAAACCTGATGCTCGCTAAACGAAAGGGTGATGATTCACGCGCTCGAAATGCGTGGCAAATGGATTGAATCTCAACTTGGTCGCACTTTTTTTTTTAATCAAATAGCGTCCCCAGCAAACACCAAAGTAACAATTACATAACACATGCCTGTTATATTACATTCATATCGATGTTATGTAACTGTTGCTTTGGTGTTTGCTGGGCCGTGTCTTTACAATTCTTCTTTATACAATGCATTGTGTTGCTGCATATAAATGAAATTAAAAAAAAGAAAACATTACCCATAGACATAATATATCTAGACAGAGCATTGAGCAGCGGGGGTAGAGGTTCGCGTAGAAAAGGACACTCTGTTTTGTGCTATTCCATTTCTCTCGTTCGCATGTGAACAAGAGAGAACGAAATGGCACAAAGAGAGTTTGTCCTTTTCTACGTGAACCTCTACCCCCACTGCTCAAGTAAAGGCAAATGCTCGGTCTAGATACATTATGCCTGTGATATTAGCTTCGTGATGTATACACAATATTTTTGGTATTACAATCATTAGTAATCATGTGGCTAAAAGTATCTTTGATGTATAAAGTTGAAAATCGCTAATAGATTTCTCTAAATTAATAAAGTCAGACAACGCGGTCGTATGAAGAAAAGGGCACTTGAAGATCACTTCTGAAGATACGCAGGACAAGCGGCAGCTCGAGAGACAAGATGTTGACCCTGAAGAATTCCTTACATACTACAGCACTGTAACAAACTATGTTGAAAGGATTAAAATAAACGTGAATAATAAAGTTTCGTTTGTACTTATATATCGCGAATTAAATGCGAACACAAAACGCAGCGGGACTTGTTGAAATGTTTATTAGAAAAATATATTTTAGCAGAATACACAAATACAAATTTATACAGCTTTGCCTGTCAACTATTATAATCGTAATGTTATACATGTTAATAAAGAATTGTAGGAAGAAACGTGGGAACTACATAATACATGGCATAGGATTCAAAATAAATTCACAATTCATATTTTATTATAGATATATAGTTTCATGGTGGAAATACATACCTATGTATTTCCACCATGTATAGTTTCATATATGGAAAATGTACATAGTAACATGGCAACGACACAAAAAGCAGCTTTTCTTTCTCCTACATTACGTTTCGGATAATCATTTTACTTCTGACAATGCCTAAAAAAACTTTAAGATGCATACCATTACTACCATTTTATATGCCGCGAAAGTAACAATTTGTAGTTATTTTTAACAGCATTACTTGCTTTCAGAAATGTGCATTTGTTGGGGACGAAAAAATAATTCGTGTGCACCATTTCGCTTCTGAATAACATTAAAAATTGTCCTAAACGTTATGTAACGATTATCAAGTACGTATGTCAAACAAGTAAAATTTTTGTTTGCCTATCATATTTGTCAAAGAGCAGCCGCATGAGTAATGAATAATTGCAGTTACACAAAATTGTCTAAAACAAAAAGTATCTCAATCTGGAAATAAGAAATTGGAAATCGAATTAATCGGATAATTTGAAAGAAATGTGAGCATTAAGAGTAGCAATATTGTAAACGATATTATTAGCATTAAATGTAACAACGACGCAAACAATACAACTACCCAGTGAGAAATGACTCGACATCGTTTCGACATCGATCGACGAGCCATTTCTCGCTGGGTATTGATCAAGTAAATTAATCTTTGGTTGCATTTTTTGGCATAATGTGTATGAGCACGTGGCAATTTCATAAGAAACGCAGCATATTTGTGTCGCTTGTAAAACGGAAAAAAAGAAAAAAAGAAAAACTCAACTATTATCGTACATGTTACACGCGTATGATTATATTCCTTCTTTTTATCTATATATATGTATATATATATAACTATACATATATAGATGTATGCATATCTACGTAAACATAATAGGAAAACAAATAAAAGTGATCCTTTGGAGAAACTACATATAATTTCATATTTTATACTGTAAGTTTATATGTACGTACATAATGCATATGTGCATATAAATTTGCAATACGCTATTCGCTGTATTATAAAATTATACCATGTATTTAGGAATGTCATCTACGGAGATACTAAGTACCTCGTCGTTCTCGCAGTCGCGAACCGACTGTACATAGGGATTCACGACAGCGGCCACGAATTTCTCCGAATGCGATGTCTTTGGTGTCACGATGCGTCTCGTTTCCGGATTAGCCGGCCCGCCTTCGGAGACAGGTGCATCCTTGTCCGATGGTTTTTCCGTGTGACCACTTCGCTCAATAGGGTCAGTCTTAATTACGGACGACGATTTCGCCATGCAAGCTAATCCCGAGGAAGAATCGTTGCTCATATCTGTGCTCTCAGATCGGGCCTCCAAACCGTTATCGTTTATACTTTCAGAAATAGTCTCGATCGTCGTTGGACTTTGCCTCTGAATCTGCTGGAGATTTACTTCTTCCTTCGGCAAGCACGATATCACTTCTGAAATTTCGTATTTCGAAGACTCACTCGCACCAGATTCCATCCTGGCGCACGTCTCTTGTCCCTCCTCCGCGACTCGATTAGCATCAAGTTGCATGGGGACCTGAGGCTGCAATTCAATTGTTACGATAAAATTTCATTCGACTCTAAATTCTCGATATCCATTTTTGTACTTACCGTTCCTATAGTCTCTGTGTCCGAAGATTTACTTATAGCTACAGATTGCATTTGAGAAACCAGTCCATGCTGTTCAGTCTCTTCGGTTTGGACGACACTCTGTTGCGTCTCGTGTGCGTTTAACTCATTTGGATAATGGATTTCTAGATAGTCGGTAGCATTTTTTATCATTTTCGCAATTATTTCGTCAACGCTGAGTTCCGTTACACTGGACGAGGATGGTTGAGGAGATGGCGTGATAGCAGA